TTTTATTTTTTATTATTAAAATTACTAATTTTATAAAAATAATAATAAATGAATAAATAAAATTAATTATAATAATGTAATTAATAATGTAATTACACCCTCATTTTTATTATTAACAAAAAAAATTATATTATTTTAAAATAAAAAATTAATCATTTTACTAATTAGCAAATTATTTTTTAAAGATAATATATTTTTAATTATAAATTAATGTAAAAAATAAAAATATTATAATCACTTAATGCTATTAAAGGTAAAAAAATAAATTAAAATCTATTAGATAAATATTAATTAAAAACTGTGATAAAAAATTAAAAAATTAAAAAGGATAAATTTATCAATAAAATTAAAAAAATTCTAATCCGCTAACAATTTAGTATAAAAAACTACCTAAATTAGCCTTTTCAATTTGTTATTGATTTCCACCCTAATCGTTATCCGCTAATTCCAAACTGCTAAATAAAAATTTTTATCAAACACTTTATTTGTAACGATTTCAAAATATATAAGTTTACCAAATACTCATCTTTGGTGGTTTGACCAAAACTACTAACCACAACCCCAAAACCGTTATACCGAACGAAACCTAAAACAAAAATCAATTCAAATAGTTATTCTTAAAAGATTAACTAAAACCAATAAAATCTAGTAAACTTTTTAGTTTAGGTAGTAATTTTAAAAATAAAATAATAAAAAATTTAATTAATTAATAATTAGATTTGGATGACAATTGAAACCGAAGCATACCCACCCTCTACGTGGGGATGGAAAAAGAGTAACGAGGTTGAATAATATTGAGTTTGCTTTCGTAGAGGTGGTGGAACACTACAAGAATTCACTGTATCACCGACGAGAAGCCATGTCGGAAACAAGAAGGAATCTGGTCGGTGAAATCCAATTCCCACTTGAATCATGTCAGTGATAGGCTTCTCGGTGAAGCCAAGCTCGGTGATTCAAACACCGACGTAGATGAAAATCATGTCGGTAAACGGACCCAAAATTACCAACAAAGAACATCTTGGAAATAGGGAGCCGGAACAGTCCACCAGAAAACATCTCTCTGGTTCCACGTCGGTAAATTACCGACAAGGATAACGTCTGAACATATACAGAAGCCTCGTGCCCAGCGCCTATCATTGACGAACATCACGTCTGATAATCTAGGAAAATGGTTCGCAATTAGAGCCATGTTAGTAAATCACCGACAAGAACCACGTCGACACTACACAAAGA